TGATGTGGTCCTGCAGCAGGTGACGGCACGGGATCCCGCCTTTAAGTTAAATCTGGTTCTGTCCTGCAGTATTGACAAATCTTGAGAAAGTTACTGAAATTCTGTTTTATTGTTGGACACTCAAAATGAAATGTTATTTGGAATACATAATTTTAACATTTTAAGGCACCATGTTTTTTTCTTAAGGCATGGATTTACCAACATTCTTTCTTTAATTTTTTATCTTAATTTTTTTCAAATTAAAGGATTTAAACTTTGTCTCTTCTGCTTTTTAGCTTTCTTGGTGGCTCAGAGAGTAAAGCGTCTGCCTGCAGTGCAGGAGACTCGAGTTCAATCCCTGGGTTGGGAAGATCCCCTGGAGAAGGAAATGGCAACCCACTCCAGTATTCTTGCCTGGAGAATCCCATGGATGGAGGAGCCTGGTGGGCTACAGAACACGGGGTCGCAAAGAGTCGGACACGACTGAGCGACTTCACTTCAGTGTCACTTCTGCTTTTTATATTTTCCAGAATTTTGTCCATTTTTTTCTCACTGAACTCTATAAGACTAAAATAATTTATGAAATATGGTACTTAGTGATACTTCCCTCATGGTCCAGTGGTTAAGACTTCGCCTTCCAATGCAGGGGATACAGGTTTGATCCCCGGTCAGGGAACTAAGATCCCACAAGCCCCACGGCTAAAAAAAAAGAAAAATCCAAAGCCACCTGGAAGACTAAAGCATAAAACAGAAATAGTATTCTAGTAAGTTCAATAAAGACTTTTAAAATATTCCGTATTAATGATACTTAAGTATTAGTTTTGAAAGGATATTGAGTAGCAATGTACATGCCATTAAATAATATTTCTATTACTTAATAGATAAGTGTAATAATGACAAGGAAGAAATGAAATAGTGTACATCCATGCAGGGCAAAATACTAGAGCACTGGATGAAGTCTGTCAAGGTTCCAAGAAGCTCAGCTCTTTTTCTTGTAATTTAAACTCTTTCAGAGCAAAGAGAAAGCAGAACTTTCTGAAATATGTCTTCTGGACATAGAGGCAATAGCAACATCTGTACACAAAAAAGGAACCTATAAAACAATCTCATTGCCATTAATGGGATACACCATTAATCTTATGTGCCACTAATGGAATATGGCAAGAAAAGAAATAAAAGCCTGAAAACACAGGGAAGGAGAATTAAACTGTCCTGTTTTCACACATGGGGTAATTGTCTAAATATCAAGAAGAAACAAATAAACATTCAAACTGAAGAGTTCAATAAAATAGTTCAACATTATCATTTATATGTGGAATCTGAAGAATGAAACCAATGAATATATTTAATAAAACAGAAATAGACTTGTGGATACAGAGCACAAACCAGGGGTTATGGGGGAAGAGGGATGGGTGAGGGGCCGGGTAGAGGTGGAGGATTAGGAGACACAAACCACTGTGCATCAAGTAAATAAGAACAAGGATCTGTTGTGCAGCGTGGAGACAGTGTCATTTCTGTAATAGCTTTAAATGAAGTATAACCTATAAAAATGTTGCATCACTATCTTGTACACCTGAAACTAATATATTTCAAACTAACTGTACTTCAATTAAAAATAAAGCAGCTCAGTGGAAGACTGACATAGGAAAACATAGCTTCCCCATGAATTAATCAAAAAATAAGATACACTTCTTCGTATATGCAAAGTATCCAGACACATCGTGTAAAAAGAAAATGTAGACAATATTTTAAGTACTCTATAGTAATTTCCCCCAAAATTAATCCATAACTTCAACTCACTTTCAATCGAAAGTTCATTCCAGTTGTAGAAGGATGGTGGGAAACTCGACAAAGGTGGTTTTAAACTGAGTCTGGAAGAGTAAGCTATAAGAAAAGCCCTGACGGTTTCCGGAATAAACCACATCACTAATGGCAGTGAGGGCGATGATGAAAGTGGGCTGAGCCTCTTCTAGGGGTTGTTCCTACAGAGATAACTACACGTCATCGCCCTCATCTGAGAGGCACTCCAGTGTTATGCGATAGTGAGAGAACTGGAGGTGATCTAAACACCTATCCAACGACACTGGAGCATGGCTTACAGCACATTCATTCTGTGGTCTCTGTCCATCCCCTGGAAAGAAGCATGTCTGTGAAGTGCACTGAAACACATTGAATGCATATCTAACCTACGCTTACAAGGAAATACAGCAAGAAATGTACTTAGGAGTACAAAAAAATAGTTACAAAACAATAGGTATAGTCTTGTCAGTTTTTTTAAACATTTGATGTGTAAACATAGCTATCTCTACAATACATGTACAGTCATGTCACGAAAAGAACCCATACCAAACTCCAGAGGATGAGAGAGTGAAAGGGGATGCTCCAGTTTTCACTAATACATTGTGTGATTTTACTGAGTGGATATTTTGTAATTTTTTAATGATAATTTTTCAACCATTCGGTAATTTTAAAATATTTTTCTATGTTGCTATTCATTGGAGCCTGTGTTACTTGGAAACTTTTGCCTAATCTGACAACTCACCAAGTTCAGCAGATAAAACCCCGCTGCGGCATAGCTGCCACAATAAAGCCACCAGCTGGTAATTCTGGTTTTCCAAAGTTCGCCTCGTTAAACACAGAAGCACGGACACCGTCCGCTTGCTTTCTCGAGCGTGGCTCTGTAGCGCCCCCTAGAGGTCACCTTGGAGAACTCTCCAGAGACAGGCGAGCAGCCTTGCTGAAGCTGCTCGTGGATTCGATTTCCAGGCCGTCCTTGGGCCACTCTTCCAAACGACACGCTGATTTAGATCCCATGTCACCGCTTCTTTCAGGGAGTCATTCTCTAGCAATAAAGCTGAAGCAGTGAGCTCAGCTGAACACAAGGTCAAGTCTTGAATGTACTTTTCGTAAATAATGGATATATTTTTGCAGTTCTACTTACTGAAGCCCTAAGCTTCTCCTTGGTGCCTTTCAGCTTTAACTAGCACAGAACCTCTGCTTTAAGTGGCTCACAGGCCTCCTGAACAGGGACCTTCGGTCTATGGCACCAACCTGAAAGTCAGGATTGGTTGAAAGGTAAGGTTGGCCACAGAATGGGAAATGGCGAAACACACAGGAGAGCGTCTTAGCCCAACCGTGGGTGGGCAGCAGCGCCCCCTGGAGGGCTTGGCCCGCCCAGCAAGCTGGGCGCACCCCAGGTTTCCTGACTGCAGCCTGCAGGCTGGGCCCAGGTTTCTGTGGCCTTTCCAGGCACGTGGGAGTGATGCTGCCCAGCCAGGGACACAGTCAGAGGTCCACGCATCTGCTGGTCTTCTTCATCTCATTATGTTTTAAAGAGAGTTCATCTCTTCCCGGGTTTCCCTGGTGGCTCAGACAGTAAAGAGTACACCTGCAATGCAGGAGACACAGGTTCAATCCCTGGGTGGGGAAGATCCCCTGGAGGAGGTCGTGGCAGCCCACTCCAGTGTTCTCGCCTGGAGAACCCCGTGGACAGAGCAGCCTGGCGGGCTACAGTCCACGGGCTCACACAGTGTCACAACTGAGCGACTAACAGTTTCAGCTTCTTCGCACTCTTTTGTACATGGCTATCTGGCTAGAGCTTACACAGTCGAGTTGGTTTGTTAAAGCTAGCTATCACCAAATCTTAAGAAAGACTACAGACCTATTAATGATTAATTCTGACTTGTAAGACTCAACAACTTTAAGACTTTCCCAAGGGTAATGTTTTCAAAACAACATTTCAATTGTTGCACTGGGATAGGTCAAATGTATAACTTTTTTTTTAATTTTCAGGGTCTTTTGGGGAGGGAGGGGACAAATGACTGATTCATATTGATGTTGGCAGAAACCAATGCAATATTGTGAAGTAATTATCCTTTAATTAAAAATTAAAAAATGTTTAAAAATAAGTGATATTCCTAATATCAAACCCATTTGGCCCTTCACTCCGGCTGCTCTGGCATCCCTGAGCCACTTGCTCTTGCTGGGTGACCAGCTGAATCCAGACCCCGCCACCCATCTGCTGCCCTCACAGCACGCCGGCTCAGGGAAGAGTTAAAACTTCCTCAGTAGCTTTCAGAAAGCAAACAACAAACTGGCATTGAACAGGAACTTCCTTTTTTGCTCTTCATTTCTACCTCTGACAAATTAAGGTTTGTTTCTTCAGAATTTGCCCATGATTAATTTATGTCCAAAATGAGTACATTTAATGGTGCTGGTCTTATCCAGAAGTAATTGCAGGGGTGTGCAGACTTCCCCACCCAGAGGCAGCTGTCAACAGCACAGACCGCCTCTAGGAGACTCTTCGTCCTGGTTCACACCTGAGTTTGATAAAGTTGTCCAGTTTGGCCTTAACAATTACACAGACTGAGGTACCATGTAAGTCTCTGTCATGCAGGGTCCACGGTAAATTTTCACAGTTGATGCAACCAGCCTGAATCAGGGGAAAATACAACGTGAAAATCAGTTTCAAAGAAATGCAGATTCATTGTTTCCAAACACGCCTCTAACCTTCTGTGCTTGCGTCAGTTTTATCCCTTTTCAAAAATATCTAATGGCTCTCCTGAGGTAAGAGGAATTTTCCTAAATGACAATTTCCGTAAATGAAAATCTGAAACCTTCTTTGCATTTAATCCTCTTATCCTCAGGGTGAAGTTCAAATTCCTAGGGAGGCCCCCAGAGCTCTTTATCTTCATACCGTCTCTGATCTGTGGACTTAAAAATTATTTCGAGAGTTAGGTTTTATTCGGCAGGAATAAATTTTTATGACTTCAAGCCCGGGAGGCAGCGTCTCAAGCAGCCCTGAGAGAACTGCTCTGGAGGTGCAGGAAGGAGCCAGGTTCTATAGAAGTTATGCAACAAAGGGCAGGTAGTCTGAACATCTAAAGATTACTGTAAATTAAAGCAAACCAGACATCCCAAGTTAAGGAATTAGTGTTATTCTTTGTATGGGAAGATGCAAGTTCGGGGCTCACTGAGGTCAGTCCTTTGAGATGCAGCTCAGCTACCTGGGGCAGCGTCCTATGATTTTAGCTCCCGAGTGGTCGGAGGATCTCCAGACCAAGGTGAGGGCTGCTCTGCTGCAGGAAGGAGGCCCCAGCAAACAAAAGTGCTCTGGCCCTGGGCATGTGCAGAGAACCCTGCCCGAGCCTGGGCAGGCGTCAGGGCAGTGTGTCACAGACCACCGCCGCTGGTCATAGCAGAGGCGTGGCTGTCCACACCACAGCCAGCCCTGGGCAGCTCACTCAGCCCCCAGTTCTGGAAGAAGCCTCCAGGAGCACAGCTGACTCCTGTGGGCAGTGGGGCACGCAGGGGTCAGAGTTAAGAGTCAAGGGATGCTTCACAGGCAAAAACACTTGGACATTCTGATCACTGAAGTCGTCGGGGCTCAAGAAACCACCTTTTTAATGTGGCCCTTTTTGTACCAGACTCTAAAGAAGTATTAGATGAAATCACATAAAAGTGCAATTTTTTTTCATTCAAAGATGGTAGAATATTGGCAATTTCATGTTTCAGATTCATGGATTATATGCATTTCATTAATACACTTTCAAGTGATCTGTGCATGTGTGCTCAGTTGTGTTGGACTCCTTATGACCACACAGACTAAAGTCCACCAGGCTCCTCTGTCCATGGGATTCTCCAGGCAAGAACATGGAGTGGGTTGCCATTCCCTTCTCCAGAGGATCTTCCCCACCCAGGGATCGAACCTGCATCTCCTGCATTGGCAGGCGGGTTCTTCACCACTAGTGCCACCTGGGAAGCCCTTGAAGTGATCTGCTCGGCCTGAAATCCACACCATCTTATCATACATGGTCCCTGTCATGGAAGAATTATTTCTTTTCTCAAAACTGATTTTGCTGTCTGTGTTCTTCCCACCAGTTTAAGAAGGCTATTTTGTATTTCAGAAATCTTGTACATTAAATTTCAAACCAAAATCTCTCCTAATTTGCTCTGTGTTCACAGTACCATTTGTTCCAGTCAGATCCTGTCTTTCTCCTTGGCTCACAGTCCTGTTCTGGACTGCGACTTGGGTGATACTGTTCCTTTTAAGATCTCTATCAAAAAAATATTTCAAAAAACAATACATGATTCCTACAATCAGAGGATATTCTTTCAGATTTCCATAACCCCTTTAAGAAGTTTACAATATTCGACCAGGAGTTAAGAGGGAACTAAGTTTAGAATTTACTTTCTTTGCTTCCTGCCAGCGCATTGCCGGGGTGAATTTTGGGCTAATGAGCTGAAGGTAATAAGCAGAAGCAGAAAGGAGGAAAACTATCCCACCGGGGCAGTGAATTCACATGCTGCATGAGGAGCTGACAGGACCTAAAGGAGCCTGAGGCTTACAGATACACTAGAGATGAACTGAGTTTTCCATGTTTCTCTCAAGAGAAATTAACTTAACTTGCAGAGTAGTCACAAATGGTGCTTTAATGGGCAGACGGGGAAGGTGAGTGTGCAGGGAGATGGAAGGAGAAGATGAGACAGCACACTGGATGGGCCCATAGCTGGGGTCACACGGGCTGACCGCGGCCCCGGGGAGGCCGGCTGGTGCAGAGCAGCTCGGGGCCCCAGCATCAGAGTGCGCTGGCCCACGTGTGCCCTCCGGGATCCCACAAACCGGATCTGCCCGTTTGCCCTCTCGACACACTCTGAACCTCACCAAGTTTTCGTGTCCTCATCTGTACGCTGGTGATGGGAAGAGCACCAAAATTAGAGGGTGGTTAGGAGAGAAACCGTGTCAGGCGCTCAGCATGTCAGGATGGGAGGGAAGGTGGCGACACAGAGGGTCACCTGCGAGGTGTGAGCCCCACTGAGCGTCTCACAGGAGAATCGCTGAAGCCTGGAGGGGAATCCTGGGAGTTTCCATCTGTCTGGGATTTCATTCATTCACTTAAGGGACAAGAAAGCAAATTAGGTTACTGGAAAAGGACATATTTCAGTCCCTTAAGAGAAGCTCAGGGAAAAAAATCAGACATGACTTGGATTTAGGCAGATCATCATACACACAGCCTGCCTCCACCAGGTGAAAGCTGAACAGGGACCAATAAGAAATGTGTTCCTTTTAAAAGATCTCACTTTGTAAAGAGTACAATTTTTTTCATCTGCTCACTTGGAGATAAATTCATACAATGGCACACAGGCCCTCACCAGCTCTCTAGAAAACCAAATCTATTGGTTAACTTAGGTAAGTAATTCTACCTACAATGTTAGAGGTGTATGGGCACATACACAATTTTAAAGTGCATGTATAATCATTTCAGCAAAAAGATTGCAAACAATTTATTGTCAGTGAGAACAATGGGCCAAGTTAAAATCATACACATTCTGCAAATTGCAGGTCATGCAAAAGAAGTGAAATGAGTTCTTTACCATTCCGATATGCGAGTATCTCCAATATATACTGAATGGAAATGGCATGAGAACAGATCAATGGAATAGAATTGAGAGTCCAGAAATAAACCCTTACATTTATGGTCCACTGATTTACAACAAGTATGTCTAGAAGTAGAATTATAACAGCTTGCCAAGTTTTCCAAGAAATATGGCAAGAAGTCACATTGCAGAAAAGAGCACATGATGTGATGCCTTAGCTTTAAAAAAGGAGGTTTAGAAGAAGAAATCCTTCTAAAGGCTTAGAAGGCTTAGGTTAGGAGAAATTGTGCATGAATACCTTTGTGTGTGACTGGAGATGTTTGAAACACACACAGAAGGGCCAGAGGGGACGAGCGGAGGGAAAGTGTTCATTCTCAGCTTTAAGCTTCCAGTCTGCTCCACAGTGACTATAATTATTTTTATGACACTTCAGTATTTAAATGGGCTTCCCTGGTGGCTCAAGTGGTAAAGAATCTGCCTGCCAATGCAGGAGACGTGGGTTCAATCCCTGGGTCAGGAAGATCCCCTGGAGAAGGGAATGGCAACCTACTCCAGTACTCTTGCCTGGAGAAATCTACGGACAGAGGAGCCTGGCATGGGGTCACAGAGTCGGACACAACTAAATGACTAACACATTGTAATATTTAAATAGAGAAGAGAAACTCCTTTTTAAGCATTTAAAAACTCAGTCTGATTTTCTACTGTCTTAATAATGCTAATTTTCCAGTTAGTTTGAAGGGCAAACCTGAAAATAGCTTGAAGGCAGATCATTTTTTACCATTTTATTAGTGGAGTATATTTGCCTTACAACGTTGTGTCAGCTTCTGCTGGACAACAGCATGACTCAGCCGTCAGTCCACGTGTATCTGTTCCCTCTTGAGCCTGCCTCCCAGCCCGGCCCGCCCTCGAGGTCTGCACAGAGCCCAGCTGAGCTCCCGTGTCAAAGAGCAGCTTCCTGGCAGCTGTCTGCTGCACACACGGCCGTGTCTGCGTCAGGGCTCCTGTCCTCGCTCGGCCCGCCCTGCCCGTGTCCACACGTCTGCGGTCTACGGCTGAAGGCAGATCGTTGACTCTCTGGAAGCTAGGTCAAGCGTCGGTTAAGAGAGGAGGAAACACGGGCCTCCCTGGCAGTCCTTCCAGAGCAGAGGTATGAGTTCAGTCCTTGGCCCCACGTGCCTCAAGGCCAAAACCCAAAACATGAAACAGAGGCAATTGTAACAAATCCAATAAAGACTTTAAAAAAGAAGAAGAAAGAAACGAGGAAACAGGACTGCTGTTTTAAGCAGACGGAAAAAAACCAGAACAGCCTCCTTGTCTTTGACATAAACTAATCCTGAGCCCTGGACACCTTCCCTCCTGGTTTCTCTCCCAAAATGTACCAATCTGACTAAAACAGATACTGACAAACAAGGAAGATATCCCCTGAGCAGGGCTAAACACTCAGCCAGAGGATTAATGAGCTGGGTCCAAGCAAACACCCGGAAGCAAAGAAATAGTGTCCCCGAGGGAAGAAGGCATGGCCCAAGCCAACCTGCCGTGAGACCAAGCAGAGGAGATGCGGCTTTTGCAAGATTTCTATACAGATTTGACAGGCTTGATATGGGGACTGTTTTTCCTTGTTTGATTTCTTACTCGATGTGTGAAAGATATGACACAGCCAGCTCAAATTTTGAATAAACATGTGAGTTTCTTGATAAACTGTGCTGTGTGCTCAGTCAGTCGTGTCCGACCTCTCTGAGACTCCACAGGCTGTAGCCCACCAGGCTCCTCTGTCCATGGAATTTTTTAGGTAAGAATAGTTGAACAGGTTATTTCCTCCTCCAGGGGCTCCTCCTGACCCAAGGATTGAACCTGTATCTCCCGTATCTCCTGCATTGCAGGCAGATTCTTTACTGCTGGGCCAACAGTGTCCAGCATCCTACTCAATTAAATAATTCAGATGGATTAACTATGTCTTCTTGTCACCACTTGATGGCAACATAGTTAACCTACGGGGCAGTTAGGGACACAGCAACGTCCAAATTGATCCAGGCTGTTACCAGGGCGGCTTCCTGGCTCAAGACACGGTTCAACAGAAATTCACAGGGACGGGAAAATTATTTCAGACCCTCCAAAATGATTGCATATATTGACCTCTGCTTTCTAAAAGATCAAGCAACACTCTTTGGTATTTCTTCCTCAGGAAGCAAGGAAGAAAAAGACTGCTGGCTGCATCCAGAAAAACTCTCATTTGTCTAGCTGCCGTAATTGAATTTTTATTCACAAGCCATATGTAGAAAATCACAACAGAGTGCTTAAATTAAGTTAAATTTGATATCTTTGAAATATCATTTGCAAAATTCGTTTGCAATACACAGCATTCTCCTGGCCTGATGGTGAGTGGATTTGGGGTGATGTGTATCAAAGCAATTTCTCATTGGAAAAGTTCAAGTTATTCTTGAGATTCTCCTTGTGGCCATGCCACCCAGGATATTGATCTCTTCCTTAGCTTTAATACAGAATCTAGAAGGAAGAACAGAGCCTAGAAGGTGTAGCTGTGGCCAAGAAGAGTGACCTCTGAGCAGGAGGGATGGTCTACCCTCAGGGGAGTCCTCCAGCCCGAGGATAAAGCTGTTTATGTATAACTGTCATATTAGGGTTTTCCAGAGAAACAACCAATAGAAGATGTGCGTGTGTTTACAAAGTGTCTTATTTTAAGGCATCTCCTCACACTGTTATGCGAGCTGGAAGCCCAGGACAGCGGGTGGCAGAGTTTGTTGCCTGGAATTGGAGACCCGAGGGCAGGAGGAGAACAGCACCCAGGCTCAGCCAGGTGGGCCGAGCAGGGTACCCCCCTCTGCCTTTTGTCCGAGGGGGGCTTCCCGTGACCCAGTGAGGCCCACCTATGGTGGGGAGGCCACCTGCCGTGCCCAGTCCACTATTTCAGATGCTAAGCTGTCCAGATACACTGTCTCTCTCACATACACACACAGAAATAATGCTTAGCCAGATGTCTGGGCATCCATGCCTTGGCTCAGCCACGTTGACATTTAAAATTAATCATCACAGCCATTTCTACTTGTTAGATTGTGAGACAAAGTACAAGGAAAATGAACAGCCGTGTTCAGGACTCCCCACATGGGTGTTGGAGACTGAAATGGGTGGAGTTTGTGTGTGCTCTGTAGCTGTGTCCCGCAATCACCCCACAGGCCAGCAACAGAGACCCACTTCCCACTCACACCACGGTCAAGGACAGACAAGGGCCACCCTAGGCTCAGGGTGTCTAATGTCAACAGTTACAGGACCAGATACCGAGGACCACCGGCCCGAGTCAGAAAACGATGACGCGGAGATGAAAGCCCCCAGTAAGGGCACACACGCTTGCTTTTGTTCAATGTGAAGACGTTCAGGTTCCAGGGAGAATGTCTCCTTACCACTGCAGAGGGAGACCCCTGCTGGGGTAGAGCTGGCAAGCTTGTCAGGACACATTTGGGGCCCATCAGGTGGGCAAAAGGTCCATCTAGTCAAAGCTATGGTCAAAGCCAGCAGTCACGTACAAATGTAAGAGGTGGACCATAAAGAAGGCTGAGCACCAAAAAATGGATGCTTTTGAACTGTGGTGTTGAAGAAGACTCTTGAGAGTCCCTTGGGCAGTAAGGAGATCAAACCAGCCCATCCTAAAGGAAATCAACTCTGAATATTCACTAGAAAGACTGATGCTGAAGCTGAAGTTCCAATACTTTGACCACCTGAGCTGCTTACTGGAAAAGACCTTGATGCTGGAAAAATTGAAGGCAGGAGAAGGGGATGACAGAGGATGAGATGGTTGGATGGCATCACCAACTTGATGGACATGAGGTTGAGCAGGCTCCAGGAGATGGTGAAGGACAGGGAAGCCTGGAGTGCTGCAGTGCATAGGGTTGAGACTAAACAACAGCAAAGCGGGTAAACATCACCATATGCCTGAACCAGGGGAATTCTGACTCAGCAGTGGCGGAGGCTCCGGAGTGCCCTCCCAGAGCTTGTTTGAGATGCTCCCCACACCTGGGCTCCACTTTCAACTGCATCACCCCGTCTTCCCTTCAGTAAAGAAGGACTGTACGTCCCCCAGGGCAAGATGCTCATAATGCCCCTCCCATGAGGAGTAGGAATTGGGGAGCAGTCCCAGGCCTGCTTTTAAGAAGCCTTGAGCAAACCTCACAGCTATGGGTCACTCGTCCCCAGGATGTCACCTTCATGTGGACCAGCCCTGCAACAGACCTGGCATTTCTCACCTTGCAGGCACAAGTAAAACATGCATTAGCAAGCCAGGAAACCCTTTCTTCCAGATATAATAAACCCTGACACTGTGATTCTGTGACTCAGACAAATGGTATCAAGAAACAGCATTTACATTGTACAGCACAGGGAACTGAGCCAGTACTTTATAATGACAATAAATGGAGTACAACTTTTGAAAACTGCAAATCACTAGGTTGTACACATGAAGTTTATATAATATCGTAAATCAGCTATATACATGTGTGTGTGCTAAGTCATTTCAGTCACGTCTGACTCTTTGTGACCCCATGGACTGTAGCTCACCAGGCTCCTCTGACCATGGGGATTCTCCAGACAGGGATACTGGAGTGGGTTGCCATGCCTTCCACCAGGAAATCAGCTATATCTTAATTTAAAATAACAGAAACAATATTTACCGCTTGAAGAATTTCACTACATGATTTCCACTTGAGAAAGAAAATAAAAATTAAGTTTAACTAATTAAAAGCAGAGATTTCCATTTTAAAATTATAAGCACTTCTTTTGGAAGCACAAGCCTGAGTACTTAGCCGGCTAAAGGCGCTCTGGGTTCAAGGGATCATGTTTTGTGATAATTCCTGTGTTGTCCTTCCACATGTTTGAGTCTTTGATTTCATCGTAATATGCCCTTCCAGTTTTAGTTTAGCAGAATAATGCATTTCTGACTTTTCAGAAATTTTTCCAATAAAATAAAAACAAGAAAATAAACCCAAACTCCACTTTTAACAAAACTAGGAACATCCGAACTTGCAAATCACAAAATATGAAGATAGACAATGGGTGCAGAAATGGTAACAGAGACAAGAAGACTTGGGTGTCTGCAGAGAGGCACCCTTAGAAGACTCAGAATTCTGAGTGTGGTCAGTGGTTGGGCAAGACACAGGGTGGAGATAGGTCCCCACCCACTCCTAACACACTCTTGTGACAACTTCTCTGTTTGAGAAGTTTTGCAAAACATAGGAAATAGATTTTTTCAGAAGATTTAAGCAGAGAAAAAACTTAACCAGGCCAGAAATGGCATCAGCTGTAGAGTAACATACAAAATAGATCCCCATTACTAAGACTCCAAATGTCTTGATCTTAAGAAACACCTGGTGGTGGTTTAGTTGCTAAGTCGTGTCTGACTCTGCGACCACATGGACCGTAGCCCACCAGGCTCCTCTGTCCATGGGACTCTCCAGGCAAGAATACTGGAGTGGGTTGCCATTCCCTTCTCCAGGGTATCTTCCCCAACCCAGGAATCGAACCCGGGTCCCCTGCATTGCAGGCAGATTCTTTACCAACTGAGCTACCAGGGAAGCCCTGGCTGGGAGAATTGATGATCAATTTTTCTTTTCAAAACCACTGGCAAGATATATAGAGCAGTGGTTCTCACAAATGAGAACCAGTTGAGAACTGGTGAGCCCAGTGGAATTGGTTTTGTCCTCCACGGGACACTGTGGAGGAAAGGTTGCTAACAGCATCTCATGTCTAGAGTCAAGGTGACACAAAACATCCCAGAGGGCACAGACTCCGCCTGCAGCCCCACAAAGGATTAGCCAGCCCAGATTTCAATAATGCCATAGTTAAGAAGACCTGGTTTAAACCTAGAAATCTTCGAGCCAAGTCTATGATATGTGGGCTAAAAAAAAAGCATGACATAGAAAAGGAACAAAGGGGAAAAGAAGCATTGCTCCCCTGTTCCCATGGACACTATGTATTTTTGCCGGTTTCTGAATCACATTAAAGGCAAAGGCTAAGATGGCATGACTAATTCTCCATGATCTGCTTCCTTTTCTGGGTGAGTAATACC